CTCTGAAGTTTGATTGCACCACACTCGAATATAGTTAGCATTATCGATTTGATGGTAACGATCTACCATCTTAATTTCAAATGATGTAATTATTATTTTGTCAACATTATGTTCTAAAATTATAGGAAGAAATGGAAACGAATCATTATATGGTTAATGAAAAATTGCCGAAAGAAATTGAAGCAAAAAGGGCAGTTATTGCTGATTTGAGGAAAGTGGTTGATGTTGCTGCTATGGACAAAAACGATATCGCTGAATTGCAACAGAAAGTAATATGTTCCCTATCTTTAAATTCTACATATGCTAAACTATGAAATAACTATGTCTTACCTTTAAGGTTGTTTAGATCGAAAAAATGAACCAGGAAATTATGGAACTGGTAAATGAACGTAATCGTAAAGACGAGAACACAGATAAGCTATCAATTTATCGGCATCAGGCATCAGTTGTTTATAAGAAAAAAGCAAAGCTGGTTGAAAAGCTGCAAGAGGCGCGGTATATATTTTAAACTGAATTGATACGAACTAGATAAGTTTTTAATTGTCTGTTAATCTTTTCTTTCCTTCCCTTTTCTCCCAAAAGTAAGTTACTAAGAATTAAAACGAATTGTTGACTTTTATTCAATAAGGTCATATGCCATATGACCTTATTGAATTCCTTCGGAATTCTAGTGGTATCAGCACCGTCACCAAGCATTGGCTGTTCGATTGCTCTTGTTGACTTTATTTGTCTTGTAAGTTTGATTCATCTTGTTTGTTACTGAACCAAGGAGAGAGATTTTCGTGTTTTAAAATTTCATGGGAAATTTTTTACAGTTTGGAATTGCAAAACATCATGAATATGGTGGAAACGAAGAAAAATAACTTGAAAGAAAAAGGCGGCACAGATTTTGTGATTACGACCACGCAGGTTTACTCTTTGTTTGCTACTTTCAACGATTGAAGCTTAGAATAAAATAATAGGAAGATAGTCGAGTGATGATGCTTACGTAAATTTCGATGGGAAACTTCATTTTAAAGACTTTGTAACTTTGACTAACATGAAATCACATTTACGCCGTGAGACATATTCAATATAAACCAATAAACACTTCTGGGATTTGCAAAAAGAAAAATGAATTTTGCATTAGAAACTTTTTAAAACCATTTTGCAGGAAGTGGATTCTTTTTTATAATTTTAATATTTACAGTTCAAGAATTACATCAACAAGTTACGTATTAAAACGTCAAATTACAAGCGAAAGCATGCTGAAATGAGTGACTTAAAAAGTGAACACGCTGTACTGTCGCGCACTGCAGATATCCTTACAAATCAGTGGAACAAACTTAGGCTGAAAATAGTTAGCTATCGGTTTTTGAATATATTCATAATTAATGAGGAAGGTGCTCTGTTTTTACGTTAAAAACATTCCTCGGCCACTTATGAAAAGCCGCGATTCTCGATGATCGAAATCTTACCAATTATTACTTGTCCACGTCGTTAATAAAAATTTTTTTTTTCATTATTTTTTCATTATCCTTATTTTGCAATCAATCATATTTTTTATGATTTTTCATTTTAAGGAAGAAAGTGGCGGGAAGATAATTAAAGCACGTGATGCAAATTATGACGAAAAATATGAAATTGCAAAACCAGAGACAGATGATGTGGAAAGTTGCGGGATATGATCAGTGAATCAAATCAACAAATGGATTTAAAAAGAACAGCAATTGATTCACTAAGACAATCAAACACTGAATTAAATAATCATCTTGCTGTAATAATGCTTCGTCTTTTTTTTTAATTTACTTAGAGTAGGTGAAATGAATGGTTGTTCACTGCAAGATGGCTTATCCTTTAGTGATTGACTTTATAACAAGTAATATTACTTCTTATTTAAAAATATTACCTTACGGTGCAAGAAGCAATTTATAATGTGATTAGTGTAATCTGACTGACCTGTCAAGAGAAATGATGGATAAATAGCATGTTGGTCAGTCACTTTTTGTGCCTATGATTAGGCTGTATCGTGCTTAGAAATATTTGCTTTCTTTTCAAAGCACTAGCAATTCTTTCTTTCTTTTGAATCTTTTACTAAACTCTAAACCCTCCAAAGCATACATACATCTGATTTATTGAGGATGCCACGGAACGTTTCGATGTGAGAAAACGAAATTATGAAACGGCTGAAGCAAGTTTTGAAAATGCGTTTGTGGAAGTTGAGGAGGTTTCTCTTGTCACGTGTTTTACCATTTCTTAAAGCTTATCAAAAATCTATTTTCTACTCATAAATAGCTATCATTGAGTTTCATTGTCGTTCTAGTTGAACCAAAAATTCAGAAAGTATAACGAATTTCGCAACTTTTTTTTTAGAATATCAGGAATATGGAAGATGAAATGGTTACGAAGAAGCGGAAGATTTTTCGTGCTGGAATCGAACTTCAACTAATGAAAACCATTTCGGGGAAGCTGAGACAAGAAGGATTAAGACTGGTTAATCAAATAGAGGTTGGTTGTTAAGAAAATTGTTTGCACTGCAATCAAAATTTTGCAAGCAGAAAAGGAATACGGTACTTTAAATTTATTTATGAATTGAGCTTCTTTTTCAAAAAAGCTAAACTTTAAAAAAATGAACGATGAATGGTCCTACTTCAATTATACGGATACATTCATTTACAGAAGGAAATTAGCCGTGTCAATAAGGAACTGGAAGTTTTGCAACATTCTGATCAAGGCAATGGATTATCAATAAAGGAAGCAACTGCTCAAGTAGCAATGTGGCGATCACTGATGAAAATTTTTCAACTTAAATTACAAATTGCGGAAGGAGGAAACAAAAACAGAATGTTGTAGAGTTCGGAGGTGTGATTTTTATTTTGAATTTGGTTGAAGAAACATTATTTGTCATGTAGCATAGTTTTTAAATAAATAAAATGAATTTTCATTCTACCATACTTGTTTACAAATGCATTTATTCCAACCAAAAGATAACGGCACTTTTTTTTACCACTAAAAACATTTTGACAGCATGAAAAAACTTCTAAAAAGATATAGTTTCTGATTAAAAAAATGAAGAAATGTTTAAAAATCACAACTAAGGGCCATCCTTTCCAACTTTTTTCCTCTGAACAATGGACATGTTTCATTTGATTGTAATTTGACTCATTTTTTTATTTGTTCTTGCACAGTAACATATATTTGTTGCAGAACTTTTCTCCATATTTTTGAGATTAGATGACTTCATGGAAAGAGTCAAGATAGTCTCTCACATCAAACTAGGTCGCATTTCGAATACAAACTATTCAAAATCCATCTCACCAACTTTAAGAAAAAAAAATTGCTTTCGGAGTATCCTAGTTGGAAATAGGTGTCGCATATATCAACTTGTTAGTAGCATAATATTTCTATGTACTATATCATCAGAATCAAAGCTAGGCATTTTAATCAAGCTTACGCAAAACGAGCTTCATTTTATATAGTGTCCATTTTATATTTTTGAACCTTTTTTTAACGACAAAAGAGACATCCAGAAAGAGGGACATTCCTAAAATAAAAAAATTGGACACGGGAGCAGCTCATATCCCAGTTATTGGATTAAGATGCAAAATATTCATACTTAACTTCCATTTGTTCAAAATTGCATAAAATCGAAAAATACTTGGAGAATGGGCAGCAAATTCAATCGAAAAAAGATTTTAAATGCAAATTTCCATTCGTCAGTCAAAAGCAACAGATAAAGAAGGGAAGACAAGTCCTTTCGATAAGTTGTAAACGACGTTAGTACACGAAACTAATCACATCGATGGTCTTGCACGCTACGAATCAGTACGGTTATATGAATTACCGCCGCTTAACCTTTGATGAAACGACTGCATCTTGCAAATTCGAATTTGGTTGACACTGTCAAGAACCAATTATCTTGAGTTGTAGTAATGGTCAATATCATTCAGAATAAATTACACAAACATATATGTTTGTATTTTTTATTCCTCATCATTTCATAATATCGCGATCTTTCAAAACGATCGACAACTGAAACAACTGAAGATATTTCAGTTATGAAGGTCACTTAAAATAAAAATAATATACAGTGCTCAGACTGTTTTATTACAGTGAAAACGATGCCTCATTCAAGGATACATGAAAACGGATAAACTATAAAAATTTCACGCTCCATCAAAATACAAGAAAAATATTTATAAAAAAATGACAGTTAACCGTAAGTGGAAATTCAATAATAAAAGGTTTGAGCTATCTTAGCAAGCAGATCTCAAATCGGTGATCGTCACAAACTGAATGGCTTCCAAATGATCATTTCCCCAATACTAATAACACGAGGCCTGCAAAAAATACCACGAGAGCGGTCATGATCTACACTCAAAGTGTCATTCTAAATGCACTGTCATATTGTAAATGTAATTGCAAATACACTTCCGCAACTTACCGCTCCAATATTTGTACGACATTTGCAGTTTCGCATACCAGCGATAATGTAAACACATTTAGATTTTTGCATTTCAGATTTAATAATAAGTGCAAAAATTTGCATAAAGTTTAAATTTAGAAGGATTGACACACGTACCAAATCTAATTTTTTTTTTTAGTATAAGTAATCAAATGTTCACTTCATAATGAGTTCCCATAAACGCGAATGCAATTCTGAAGCATGCAACGATCGAAATTTTTCTTAGAGTCAGACGATGGTGCTTGGAGTTCGAACTGATCCGCTTCTTCTTCCTGAAAATACTATATATAAGTTGCAATAAGGAGAAATGCAGCATACAAAAAACCACAAGCAATATTAAGATAAGCTTTATTATGGTATCATTGGATGAATTTAACTTGTCCTGAAAACAGATGATAGTAGATGATACGCTGCTTCCACATAACAAACGAGTAACTTCAGCACTTATTATTATGGATTCATTTTTAAAAAGTTAACAAAATACCTCAAATTCGGCATTGAGGAAATCACCTTGAGCATATGGAAGTGGAAAGAAGGATTCATGGGAAATTTTGACAGCTTTAATTGCATCTTCATGACTACATCGAGTGGAAAGTGATAAGTAACGTGCCACGACCAAACCTGAGATAGTTAATCCATCCGTATCGCATGCAACGCAAACACGTGATTCTGTAATCACATAGGAATGACGCAGTAGCTTTCCATAACAACTTAAGAAAACATTCAGTAACATACAACTTACTGGTACATTGCTTCATTGCAAGCAGAATTTTTTACTCAAAAACACCAAAAATTTCAAAAAAAGAAAACCATTTAATACATATCCACGGTCAACCCAATTGTTCTTTAGTATTAATGATGAATAATATTGTAACATTTTATTGCTTATACTATGCCATCTCATAATAATACTCCATCTCCCTACAATTACCCTTGCATCGCCATTTGTGTATTCGGGCGAAAACATCCATTGAAATTGAAAGAATTGAAGGATTCTCGATAATGATCATTGTCTCTTCATCGAACAATGGAAGCAAACCTTTCAAGTTAAACCCGAAATCCAGGAATTCCGAGTAAACCACCAAACAGTCAATCTAAAAAGTAATATGTAATTTCACGAGAGGAACAAGTTTAAAAAATCACAGCTTCGAGTAATTATATTCCATTTGCCTGATTCACTCCCACAAGTGACGTCATTTCTACACTTGCATAAATTAGTGTGAAATTATATTTTAATTAGTGATTTCATCGCTTGTCATCAGGAGTCTCCTCGAAGATTTAGGAGATAGACAATTGATAGATACAGGAGTTCATATCGATTGAAGTATTTAAAACAAACATCTTTCTCTTTCAACATGTGAAAATCATTATGAGTGAGCGAGCGCAACGATGCAATGTAGAGATCCTGAAGTACAATCTTTACATCAACTTTTACTGCTGGTATTGCAGCAAAAGTGGAGTATGCTTTTTCTTTCCATTCCTCCAAATCAGCGCATTTTGTTTCATTTACAACTTCACGGATTTTCTTTGTTGGTGTTGGCTGTAAAATTTGCATGCATTTTCATTAATTAAATTCGAATATCTCATTCAACTCACCACTACATTGCCAAAAAAAAAATCTTGCCACTCCTATTCTGTAGTGGTCTCTGCCATAATTTGATGAAAAGTAAATAGTTCAAAGTACCAAACCTTAGTGTAATTGTACAAAGCGTGAAAAAACCACCATCAAAAAGTAAGGCTCAGAAAAACAAGGCCAAGTTATTTAAGTCCGAAGGATGACACCTTTCAATTCTAACATCAATAATTTACTATATAAATTTAGAAAGCAACATTTTCTAAAGTCGCTTCCAGAATCGAGTGGTATATTGGCCTGATTGCCAATTGAAGACGCAGGTGTTTCGCGAATTTGTCCTCTTGAAACAAACTAGCACTTACTGTTCCATCAGGCAGTTTATACATAATGTAGCAGAAAATTCGATCAGCTTCAGCCACTGTTTCATCCAGAAATTTTAAAGCGAAATGCTTGCGTCCTGCTCGTTCTTTTTCAAGATCGCTCGACTGAAATGTGAAAAAAGAGGTAAAATCTTTCTTCTCACCTCTCATCACAGCAATCTCTGTTTTTCATGAAGAAAAATTTTAAATTTAAAAGTATACTAATAGTAACTAATAATAATTAATAATAATAATAATTAATAATAATAATAATAATAATAATAATAATAATAATAATAATAATAATAATAATAATAATAATAATAATAATAATAATAATAATAATAATAATAATAATAATAATAATATAATAATAATAATAATAATAATAATAATAA